TTAAGTGCAGTGTCCAAAATAAGAAAGGTAATTTTCCAGTTGTTTTATTGGTGCATTATAATTATACCAGACAGTGAGATTCATTATGCAGTGTTCATACACGCACATAACAATTTGATCAGTCTCATTCCCCAGTACCTTCCCTTTCTCTCTCTTCCCTCCCCTTGATCCACTTGCTGTATTCTACTGACCTCCCTTCCATTATTATTATTTTAATTAATGCATTATGATTGTGTATATATTACATGTCTAAATAAGGATTCATTGTGGTATATTTGTACATCAATATAACATAATTTGATAGATTGTGTTCCCCAGTACTTCTTCATCCTCTTCCCCCATCTCCTTCACCTAACTGTTCAGTTTTAATCCATAAGGTGCTAAGAATCCTCCTCTGTCATCTTGTAAGATTCTCAGCAGCCACAGAAGCTTACAAGAGAAGTACTGATTGGTACTCTGTGCTGTAGTTTATGACACCATCGTCTCTGCTTCTGCTGATGCATTCTAGTATGTAAAAACATGAGCTCTTGAGTTTACCCACCTATATGTTGAGCCTTGTTTCCCAGTTCTTTAGTTTACCTACCTGTAGGTTGAGCCTGTGTTCCCACATCCTGCTGTGTAACCTCCATTCCTCAATTTCCTTTTTTATAAAGTGGAAACAGTGGAAAGCCCTCCTCATAAGGTTTGTTCAAGAGTTAAGCAAGTTATCCATGTTGAATTACTCTTATAAGTCTTACCTTGAATTAGTATCACTAGTCCTAATTGCTCTTTGCACTAAATACTATATAGTTTTGCTTTATACAAGCAAAGAATCTTTTGAAAGATATTCTTTGAAGTATCTTCAGCATCAAAACTTTCTGTTTCCCCATTGCCATGTAAATTTGTTGTCTCGTCTCTTTAAAAACCAAATAAATAATTTTATTTGATCATATATCCCCTTCCAAACTATTTCCACCGCTCTTCTATTTTCTCTTGGATTCATTCCAGTCAGGCTTTCATCACACCATTCTACTGAAATAACTTGTCAAAAGCACCAAGGAATGGCTTCTTCAATGCCAAATCCAGTGGCCTTTTAAACTTCATCTTATGCAGCTTTTCAGCAATATATGACACACTTGATCACTCCCTCCTTGATACATTTTCTGGTTTTTCAGCATGCCATATGTGGCTACTCTTTTTTACTCTCATCTTGACCTCCTAACATTGAAAATCCTTTGAGATCAATCATAAGATCTCTCTAGTTTAGTATCTCTAGCCATTAATTTCTCCCTTAACTCTGGGTTTCTGATATCCCACTGCCTATGTCAGCTTGAGCTAACTGTCTTAATCTCAAATACAAAGAGTCTGAAGCCAAAAATCTGATCCCACCCCCTTTTTCATTCTAATTAGTTAGGCCAAAATACCTTGGAGTTTTGGAACTTGTCCTGGATCGATTCAATCCATTATCAAATTCTGTAACCCCAACCTTTGAAATATATCTACTGCTCAACACAACTATTGCTATAACCCTAGTCCAGAGCATTTGTTGCCCAGATTATTGCAACAATAACTCAGCAAGTCTCCTTGATTCTATCCTTGCTTTTCCATTTAATGCCTCACTTACTAATCAGAATTACCCTTTTAAACAAAAGTCAGATCTGTTACCCTCTGCTCAAAACCCTCATGGACTTCCTATACTTAATTCTTAAATTGCTTGTAAGGGTCTGTGCTCTTGACCTCAGCTATTGGCTGACCTGCCAATTTCCCCCTTTCTCTGTCTCAAACACGACTCTGGCCAGGCTTGGTGGTGCACACCTATTATTCCAAAGGCTTGGGACAGCCTTTGGAAGACGGGAGGATCGTGAGTTTAAAGCTAGCCTCAGCAAAAAGTGAGGCTTGCTAAGCAATTCAGTGAGACCCTGTCTCTAAATAAAATACAAAATAGGGCTGGGGACATGGATCAGTCATTGTATCCCTGAGTTAAATCCTCATTACCCCAAAACAAAAAACAAAACATGACTCTGCAGGCTCCTGCCTCCAGGATTTACACTGGTCATCCATCCTGCCTGGATGGCACTTCACATAGCTATTGTTTCACTTCTCATTCTCACTTTATCAAGTCTTTACTCTCAAGTGTGGTCTTATGGGGGAAAGGTTTGTATTTATTCATTCATGTTTTTTTGGGATTGAACCCATGGGTGCTTAGCCACTGAGCCACATCCCCAGCCTCTTTTTTTTTTTTTTTAATTTTGAGACAAGTTCTTGCTAAGTGACATAGGGCCTTACTAAATTGCTGATGCTGCCTTTGAATTTATGCTCTTCCTGGGATCATAAATTAAGCTGTGCCTGGCTTTGGAAAAGTGTTTTTTATTTTTATTTTTTGATTGTCCTATACAAAACAAAACTCCCTTTATCCCTCTATCCCATCCCTATGCCCTCTTTTACTTCTGAGCACTTTTCACTACCTGATACATTTGTTAAATACCTTTCTTCACAAGAATGCAATTCCAGAGGACAAGCACTTAATTCACTGCTTAGTCCCTAGTGCCTAAAAGAGTGATGAGCCTGTTGGTTGAACAAATCAAAATAGATAACTTACCCTAAGGCATTTGTTTATAGCCTGTTTTTCTTTGATTTCTTTTTTTCAGTTTTGTTTGGTACCCAGGATTGAAATCAGGGCACTTAACCACTGAAACACATCCCGGTCCTTTTTTTTTTTTTTAATTTTCAATTTTGAAACAGTCCAAGTTAATTAGGGCCTTGATAAGTTGCTGAGGCTGCTTTGAACTTGTGGTCCTCCTGCCTCACCTTCCCAAGCCACTGGGATTTCAGGCATATGCCACTGTTCTTGATTTGTTGGTTTTCGAGATAGGCTTGCCCAAGCTGGCTTTGAAATTTCAATTATCCTGCCTCAGCCTTCCAAGTTACCTGGGATCACAGGCGTATGCCCAATAATTCTACTTGATATCTACCCCCACTCTTCTGGCTCTTTTCAATGTCTTTGAAATTTCCTGAGAGGATCAGAATAGGTTGTTCCATGGCCTTTCAGTGTGAAGCATCCCTGCTGTAATTTCTTGTTGAACCCTCTCACCTCCCATCTTCCAGTAGATTTCACGTTGGCCTGGATGTCTCTAATATTATCTTCACTGGTACCAGTAAGTATGTTTTGTTAAAAAAAAAAAGTCTCTTTTGTAAAAATGAATTTTATTTTTTTTTATTTTTATTTTTTAGAGAGAGGGGAGAGAGAGAGAGAGAGAAATTTTAATATTTTATTTTTTAGTTCTCGGCGGACACAACATCTTTGTTGGTATGTGGTGCTGGGGATCAAACCTGGGCCGCACGCATGCCAGACAAGCGCGCTACCGCCTGAGCCACATCCCCAGCCCAAAAATGAATTTTATTGATTTAATTTAGAACGTTCAGAAATTTACACAAAATTGCAGTGATGAGGAAAGCAATGGAAAACAATTTCACACTAAAACACCTAGCCATCTGGCATTGTGGATGTTGTTGAGGAGCAGACATCCAGTGGTAGTCTGCATCTGGTGAAGAATTTCTCCTGATCCGGCCCCATGACATCATTTCCTTACCAGGTCAGGCCTTATTTCCTGTTTTCAGGCCACCTGCTTTTGCATCTTTTCTCTTTATTTTTCTTGCAGTGCACCACAAGAGGGCAGCCTTTCATCATATTTGACTTTGAGTTGTGCCAACAATAGGAAGAGATGCATTTCAATAATTTAAATGGGAGATTTATTATACCTAAATCGGGGGCTGGGAACATAGTTTTGTAGAACACTTGCTGCTTAACATGTATATTGCCCTGGGTTTGATCCCCAACACCAAAAAATAAATAAATTCTACACCAAAATTATTCATCAAAGTTAATAACTCTAGGCCTACAACTCTAGCCCAAAAGTCAAGGATAAAAACATCTTTAGTAGGTGTGGGGGTACATTTTCTTGTAATCTCAGCTACTGAGGAAGCTGAAGCAGGATAATTGCAAGTTCAAGGCCAACCTCAGCAATTTAGTAAGACCTTGTCTATAAATAAAAAATAAAAAGGGCTGGGGAGGACTACGGTTATAGTTCAGTGGTGGAGCATTTACTTAACATATGTGAGGCACTGGGTCTGATCCTCAGCACCACATAAAAATAAATAAAATAAAGGTATTGTGTCAATCTACAACTAAAAAGAAAATTTTTAAAAAAGAGGAGGTGGCCGGGATGTAGCTCAGTGGTAAGCATCCCTGGGTTCAATCCCCAGTGCCAAGACAAAACAAAACAAAAAATATCCTTCAAAAGAAAGTCATAATTTTAGCAATAACATAGAAAATAACCTTTAGGAAGTCTAAAAGATCAGAAATAAAATTTTGGGTTTTTTTTGGTGGAAGGCTACTGTTAACTATTGAAGGTACTATTTCCTTTTTTAAATTCACTCAGAGTAGGTGTAGGTTGTGAAAATGCTGATTTCTGCAAACACTGAATTAGAAGATTGATGTAAAGAAGAGACTTTTATTAACTACTCATTTCAACGAATCTGTATACTATATATAAACAGAAGCTGAAGGAAGAGTAATACATGAGGTGCATTAGTCACTGTGAAGTAAATGAAACCAATATGTATCATAAACAAGCTAATGCTAACTAGTAAGCAAATTCAGTCCCTTAGGCTACAGGAATTCAGTCATTTGTTTCTCTAAGCAATTCCCTTCTGCCATAAACCACAGAGAGGTAATTAAAAGAAAGTTATCTTTAGAGAATTGGATGTTATCTAGCCATTTAGCCCTTTAAAAGGGAATTAAATTGTGTATATGACCTTAAAGAATATTTTCTAGGGCTGGGGATGTGGCTCAAGCGGTAGTGCGCTCGCCTGGCATGCGTGCGGCCCGGGTTCGATCCTCAGCACCACATACGAACAAAGATGTTTGTGTCCGCCGAAAACTAAAAAATAAATATTAAAAAATTCTCTCTCTCTCTCTCTCTCTCTCTCTCTCTCTCTCTCTCTCTCTCCCTCCCTCCTCTCTCTTTAAAAAAAAAAAAAGAATATTTTCTAGTATCTACCATGTATCTATACTTTTCTCTCTACATTCCAAGTGGCTTCTGGCACCTAATCATATTTTGGTTATATGTCATGATAACAACCATTAAGAATCAGTTGCATATAATAGAAAGATGATCCAAAAAATATATAAATGCAGTCTATTTTAAATGCAGTCTATTTCTTCTTTTCATTCTTTGTGGGGGAAAAAGAGAAAAATCTAAATCTTAAAAACTAAAGCAATCCATGAAACTAAAAGAAAAAAAATCCTAGAAATCAAGTCTTATTGAATCTTATTTTCTGGCTTTGATCTGGTTGTCAGTTGGAATGGACTTGCCCAGGTGATGGCCCACAGAAAGGCCAAATTTCTTGTTTTTCTGCTCATCTTGAACCTCTTTTTTCAATAAAAATCCTGTCTGGAAGTCCAGGTCAAAGAGGCTGCTTGGAGCAAAATACAGTGGTGTTTCATCCCAAATGTTCTCCAGGCGTTTCTTCCATCCTTCCAGGACCTGAGCTCGGGCATCTGGTGGAAGGTGCCCAATGCTGTATGTCAGTTGTGGTTCTAAGACTTGGAAGCCACAAAAATGCAGAGTACCACTCTGGGGAAACATGAAACACAGAGGTAAGTAACAGACCAATTCTATGCAGTTTGTACAGTTAAAAACAAAAAACAAAAACACCAAACTTTGGTCTGGGCTTCCCAGTGAGACTTCAGTAAGGAGATCAGAGGTGCCCTGGAGAATTATAATTATATTCTCACCTTCTTCCCTCCCTATCTAGGTGTTACCTATCTGAGCCTATTCACCTATGCTCTTTAAAAGAATAAAACCTTGAAAGTGTGCCAACCTGGATCCTCTGCCAAAAGTGCCGGAAATTCTATTACATTAGGGAGAGTTTCAGCTTCTTGGCTGCTGACTCTTGCCGATGTGCATTTCTCCACCTCTCCACAAACAAGATGGGTAGTAATAAATTATCTTCCAGGTGGTCACTTCACTTGCTCTCCTCTCCACCCCTTTTCTTGGAATAGATTACCTTGAGAATCCAGTGATATCAAAAAGCCACCTCAGGCTTCAGTTTTATTTATCTCTAAAACAGGCTAGACTGAATCATTTCTTAAATTGTCCTAGGCTCTCTTAGTTTGTGAGACTGTAGAAGAAACCTGGAAAAGGCCAGGAAGATTAGAGAGACATGTGAGTCATCCAGAGAGAACCAGGGTTCTGGGCTCGGCTCATATGCACTAGTTCTTGGTTAGGAGAGAATGATGTTTGATCATGTGTGTACAAGCTATAAACGCAGGTGCCTGGAAAGTCAGGTAAGTTCCTAAAGGGAATTGCCAGCAGTTCTCAATCACTGCCATGCTTTTTTTCTTTTCTTTTTTCTTTTTTTAAGATGGGTCTCACTGTATTGTCTAGCTGGCCTTGAACTTGAGATCCTCCTGCTTGGGCCTCCTGAATAGCTGGATGACAGGCATACACCATGACATACGGCTATTACTACACTTTTATCTCCACACATCATATCTATCTTCAGCTACTATCTGGAGGCTTTGGAACCCATGGAAAGCTCCATTAATGAATTCCCCTGAAGGTTCATTGAGAACAAAATACCTGAATTGGCCAGAGAATGATGTTCATGTCCCCGTGGACACCATGAAGGGAGTACATGGAGCCACTACCACCAGTGGTGATGGAAAGGATGGCCTTCTTATTCTGTGGAAAAAAAAAAGAAAACAAGCTCATCACCCCTCCTCTGTCACAGTAAATGAATGAGTCAGCCCTAGGGAAGGGGCCACACAGGCCCACCCTGTTCATGGTGTGTACTCTTTCATACTTTGGCTCCTCTGACCCTCCCAGCATAACTCTGTAGAAGGTCCAGCCTAGATGGTCTACAGACAGATAACCAGGGCAAGCCAAGGGTTTCCCCCACCTGCATGTGACCATAGATTAAAGCTGTCAATAGTCACCAAAATCTGTGTTGGCTGCCTCAGTGGAGTTATTTGTTGTTTTTAATCTGTCTCCCTACAGTGCTGGGCATGGATTAGGATAAGATCTTTCACATAAAAGTATCAAAATATTTCTTGTGCAGTATTTGGGTCTTCAAAAGAAGACAAACATTATTTACTCATTTTTGGAGTACTGGGGATTGCACCCACAGCCTCACACATGCTAGGCAAGTAGCTCTACCACTGAGTCTCTTCCCTAGACACCCTCCCCAATTTTGGTTTTATTTAATCCCCTAAACTCTCTTTTTTTCTGGAATATTTTAAAACAAATTCCAAACATCATTTCATCATAAAAGCCTAGTCATGCATCTCTCCCAAAGGACCTAGAGCCTGACCTTAGTGTCTGGTTGTACTCAGAGTTTTGCCTCAGGATAGAATCCACCCAGAATCCAGCTATTAGAAAACTCAGAACCATTCACCTACCCGGAAAGGCCCCTTGTCATACATGGCAGCATATGTATAGGCAAACTCTCCTACCAACACTCGCTCAAACCAGCCTTTCAGTATGGCAGGGACTCCAAACCACTGCAGTGGAAACTGGGGAACAGAAGACATCAAAGAGATCAAACCAGGTTCCACACAGAAGAAGTCTCAGAGCGCTGGCTTTTGTCATTTCCTCTGGAGGAGTTAGCACATTTAAGAAAAGAGAAAATTGGCAGGGTTCAGTGGTGTGTGCTTGTAGGTCAGGAGGCTAATGTGGGAGGACTGCTTGAGCTAGGGAGTTAGAGGCCAGCCTGGACAACACAGTGAGACAGACCCCTGTCACAAAACAAATAAATACTTAAAAATAAATACATATGGTAGCAGGAAACTCATAGAATTATAACAAGAAAATTATTGTCCTTGCTCAGCCAACTTGGCATTATGGTTTTTGCTTAAAAATGTAAATATTGGCTGGATCTGAATAAAGCCATATGCAAATAAGATTCATTTTTGTGAAATCACACTTGGCAGCAAACTCTAAATAGCAAGGATTTCAGACAAGATTTGTTTCAATGTGTGATGCCTAAATCAGTATTTCCCCAAGAATTCACACTAATAGGTGTAGTACCAAAAATATGACTGTTCCTTTAGACTATTCTAAATCCTATCATTTAGAATAAACAAAACCACTAAAATGCAAACAAATGGTCAGTATAAGATTTATCAGGAAATTCCCATGAGAAAGTCTTGTCCTTTGTTTTTTGTTTTTTTTTTAAATCAGGGATTGAACCACTGAGCCACATCCCTGGCCCTTTTTATTTTATTACAGGCATGCACTACCATGCCCAACTAAGTTATCATATATTTAAATCATGAATCAGAAGAAATACTTAGGGCTGGGGTTGTGGCTCATATGCGAGGCCCTGGGTTCCATTCTCAGTACCACATAAATAAAGTAAGGATATTGTGTCAAACTACAACTAAAAAATAAATGTTTTGTTTTTTTTTTTTTTTAAAAAAGAGAAATACTTATATATTCCTTACTCTGCTTTTGTCAGGGCAAGAGGTCAGATAAGCCAGGCAATGTGGTGGTGCACATCTGAAATCCTAGTAACTCAGGCTGAGGCTGGAGAATTACAAGTTCAAGGCCAGTCTCAGCAACTTAGTAATACCCTCTCTCAAAATAAAAAAGAAAAAGGGCTGAGGGTGTAGCCCAGTGGCAAAGTACCCCTGAGTTTAATCCCCAGTACCTTAAAAAGAAAAAGACTGCTAGCCGGGCGCAGTGGCACACACCTGTAATCCCAGCAGCTTGGGAGGCTGAGACAGGAGGATTGTGAGTTCAAAGCCAGCCTCAGCAAAAAGTGAGGCTTGCTGTCTCTAAATAAAATACAAAATAGGGCTGGGGTGTGGCTTAGTGGTTGAGTGCCCCTGAGTTCAATCCTCAGTCCCCCCTCAAAAAAAAGACTGCCATAGTATACTGATTTTGCCAAAATAAGACTTCACCTGACATCTTTCATAAAACTGTTATAATAAATACACAAATCCGCAGTATTTACACTACCCTCAGTGCTATTTGGTAGTTTGGACTCTAAGGTTTGGTTGTTTCACAGTGACTGAATCACTGTGAAAACTAAGCCAGCACCACCTTCCTTGTGAGGTTTCCAGAGCCAGGTACTCTCCATACTCAGTATCAAAGGGCAGGTAGGAATTGGTAACAGCAAAGTCATTGAACGGAGTCTGGCTTACAGGGAAGATACTGACAGGGAAGATACATCCAGTGTTGTCTGCTAAACAATGAGATGGCTTTGGGGAGAAGAAAAGCCACAATGTGCTGCAGGATCGCATCCAGCAGGGCCAGAGGTGGGAAACTACACCAGCAGTGAAGTCACCAGGCAACCTGTTTGGGATTCTCATGAAGAGATGGGAGAATTGCAAATTTTGGGAGAGTCTATCAGGAACCACTAAATGAAGGGAAGATTAGGTATATTGGAGAAAACAAATGGAAGGCTTATCTGTTGTTATCACATTCCCAAGTGCAAAGAGCAATACAGCCAGGTTCACAGTATCTATGGATCTGTGTTATATAGCACCTATAAAGCAATCACCTTTATTCACAGAGAATGCAGCAAAGTGGGGTAAGTGACTGTTCGATTTTCCACAGCTAATTATGTGACAGGTCTAGGAAAAAACAAAAGTGTCACTACCCATGGTAGGCAAGTGTTCTAACTCCAGCCCTTTTTATTTTGTTTCGATGGGGTCTCACTGAGTTCCCCACACTGGACTCAAACTTGGATTCTCCTACCTCAGCCTCCTGAGTAGCTGGGATTACAGATGTGCACTGCTGTGCCCAATTATGCTTCTGATGTCCTGTCCCTACTATACCTGAAATATCACAAGGTCAGCAGCTTCCAGCTTCTTTTGTTCAGCCACAATATCTGGGCTCAGGCAGCCTTCTTTATACGCTAGACAAGATTCGACAGTATACTGGAATTTCTCAGGATCCTTAAGTTTACCTGCCAAGAGGAACAAGAGAGGCTGAGGCCGGAGGGCCCAAGGCTGGTCCAGGGAGTCCTCAGGCAAATGGTTTCATAAAGAACTAATTAAAGGGGGAGGGGTAGCTCCTACCTGTGATGTCGTTTCTGGAAATGATGGGATTGAAGTTCATGGCATAGAGGTCGGACTCGGCCACCTCCCATCCATTCCTTTTTAGAACCTCTGCAGCAGCCTCTTTCATGGCGTAGTTGAAGGATGTCCTCTCGGAGTGGGCCAGTACAATCAGGGCTCTTCTGACTACTTAAGACACACACACAAAGCATTACTGGGTAAGTATCCCTTATCTGAAATGCTTGTTTCGGATTTCAGAGTTTTTCAGGTTTTGGAATATTTGCTTAGACTTTATTAGTTGGACACCCTTCCCCAAAATTAGAATCCAGAAGGCTCCAAAACCCAAGGCTTTTTGAACATCATGTTGGCCCTCAAAAACAAAGTTTCAAATTTTGGAGCATTTCTGTTTTCAGATTTTAATTAGATATGCTCTACCTGTACCAACCAGCAAAGCCTGAACTGTAGGGGAGTAGGGGACCATAAAGGAAGAGGTCATTAGGTTATTACTATCCATCTCAGTCTGAGATGGAGAGTAATTTATGAAAGAGGTTTATTCAGCTCAGAGTTCTAGTGGCTGGGAGGCCGAGGGGCTGCATCTATTGCAGGCCTTCTTGCTGGCAGGAACTCTCTACAGAGTCCTAAAATGGTGCAGGGCAATGCATGACAAGACAGAGCCAGGGCTGGGGATGTGGCTCAAGCGGTAGCGCGCTCGCCTGGCATGCGTGCGGCCCGGGTTCGATCCTCAGCACCACATACCAACAAAGATGTTGTGTCCGCCGAGAACTAAAAAATAAATATTAAAAATTCTCTCTCTCTCTCTCACTCTCTCTCCTCTCTCACTCTCTCTAAAAAAAAAAAAAAAAAAAAAAAAGACAGAGCCAAACTGGCTTTTATAGTGGACACATAGTAATCCATTAATCCACTGATTCATTAGTCCATGAATGGCTTAATCTACTGGTGAGGACAGACGCCTCATGACCCAACCACCTGGCCAAAGTTCCATCTGGTCCCACCACTTAATACCTTATGATGAGGATTAAATTTCAATATGAGTCTTGGTGAGAACATTCAAATCACAGTACCATCCCCTGCAGCCAGAAATAAAAGTAGCAGCAAATGGGGCGAGGGGTGTAGCTCAGGATAGTGTGTGTGTGTCCCATGTCTGGGACCTGAGTTCAATTCCCAGAAGAAAAAAAAAATTAAAAATCAACAATGACAACAACAGGGCTGGGGTTGTGGCACAGCAGAAGAGCACTTGCCTAGCAAGTGCGAGGCCCTGGGTTCAATCCTCAGCACCACATAAAAATACATTAAAAAAAGGTATTGTGTCCAACTACAACTAAAAAATAAATAAACAAAAAATTACTAAAGGAGGCATTTTGATTCAGTGAGAAATCAGCAGCTGATTTAATAAATAAATAAATGATATTGGTGTATTTAGTTAGCCACTTGCATGAAAATAAAATGGTTCCCCCTGAAAACTAATGTAGGTGTTAGAAGTCCGTAGAGTGGTTACCCTTGTCAACAGGCAGTGATAGAAGGGCACAGTGGGAATTCCAGGGTGCTGGTGACATACTTTTTTTTTTTTTTTTTTTGGTATTGGGGTTGAACTCAGGGGCACTCCATCACTGAGCCACATCCCCAGACCTATTCTGAATTTTATTTAGAGACAGGGTCACACTGAGTTGCTTCGAGCCTTGCTTTTGCTGAGGCTGACTTTGAACTCACCATCCTCCTGTCAGCCTCCAGAGCCACTGGGATTACAGGCATGCGCCATTTCGCCCTGCTTCTATTTCTTGATCTAGGTGCTGAATAAGTGAAAATTCACTCAGTATTTGCCTACTTTTCTTTGTGTGTGTGGGGAGCAAAACTAGGGCCTTTTTTTGCTAAATAAGCTCTCTACCACTGAACCACATCCCCTTCCCCAATAAAATAGTTTTGTTTTCAGTTACCCCATAAACTTACTGCGTTCGGCAATAATTTCAGGTGGATTGAAGCGCTAAATGTTTGGGTTTTTTTTTTAATTTGTTTGTTTATTTATTTATTTTGTTTGGTTTTGGTACCAGGGATTGAATACAGGACTCTTAACTAATAAATAAACAAACAAACAAACAAACAATAACAACAAAAAACAATGACTAAAGGAGGCATTTTGATTCAGTGAGAAATCAGCAGCTGATTTAATAATAAATCTGAGCCACATACCCAGTGGCCTCCCCGCCTTGCACCACGCCCCCCTCCCCAGCTTTTTAAAAAAAATTTTGGAGACAGGGTCTCTCTAAGTTGCTTGGGAATTCACTAAGTTGTTGAGGCTGGCTTTGGACTTGCAATCCTCCTTCCTCACTCAGCTTCCTGTGTTGCTGGGATCACAGGCATATGCCATTGTATCCAGCTTGGAGCTCTAAATGTTTTTAAATAAAACTGTTAAAATAGTGGAGAAGGAAAGGGTGAATTTGTATAACCTCAGAGCACAGAATATTTTTAAAGAAAGACAAGAAATTCAGAAGCCATGAAGGAAAAGTTTGAAAGGGAAAGCCTCATAAAAATAAAAAATTGGGTTAGCAGAAGGCACCAGAAACAAAGTCAACAGGAGAAAACAGCAATTCTTATCTTAAGGAGTTAAACTCCCAAAGACTAAACGAAAAAAAGAGAGATGATGCTAGAGAAAAGTGGGTCAAGGATATGAACAGCCATTCACAGAGGAGGAAATGCAAATGGCAATAAACAAATGAAAAGCTCTCTGTCTGGCCTGCCAAGAAAAGCCAATCAAAATGAGATATATTTACCCAAGAGACTGGAAAAAAAAAAAAGAAGAAGAAATTAAGTCAAATAAAATTGAAGGCTATTAAGATTGTAGGAAAACTAGCACATTCCTGGTGAGAATATGAGTTACCTCAACCTTTTGGAAAAGTAATCAGGCTGAATCTAGCTCACCAAGGATGTATGTATACTACACCACTGTTTTCATTGGCAAAAACTGGATATAACCTGGATGTCTATAAGGGGGACATTTGAATAAACTGTGGCTATATCCATATTAAAGAATATTTTGCTGGTAATGAGAAATTCAGGGCACGGTGGCACACACCTGTAATCCCAGCAGCTGGGAAGGCTGAGGCAGGAGGACTGCAAGTTCAAAACCAGCCTCAGCAACTTAGCATGGCCCTAAGCAACTCAGCAAGACTCTGTTGCTAAATAAAAAATTTAGAAGGCTGGAGATGTGCTTTAGTGGTTGAGCCCCACTGTGTTCCATCCCCAGTACCAAAAAAAAAAAAAAGGCATTGGGGGTGCAACTCAGTGGTAGAGTGCTTGCCTAGTATGCGCAAGACCCTGGGTTCAATCCCCATGTACCACTAAAAAGGAAGAAAAAAAGGAATGTGGAAAGATATCCAGAATACAGTATTAACATAAAAAATCAAGTTAATGTGAATCTTTTATTTAAAAGAAAAAGAGAAGGGAGGAAAACCACTCATGTATGTGGATTTGTAGTATGTTGGTAAGAGGGGAAGTTGTCAGTTATCACAACCTGCCATGTTTACAATGGTCTCCTCCAAAATTCAGGTGTTGCCAATGTTGGAATTTTAAGAGGTAGGGCTTCTAAGAGGTGATTGGGCCAAGAGGGCTCCTTCCTGTCCATGGGACTAGCCTTGATAAAGGAGATTTCCGGCAGCTGCTTGGTCAGCTCGCTCTTCTACTGCTTTCCACCATGTGAGGACACAACGTTGCTCTCTTCTGGAAGGATGTGGCTCTTACCAGACAACTAAACCTGACTGCACCTTGACCTTGGACTTCCCAGCCTCCAGAACTGTGAGAAATAAATTTCTGATTTTTTTTTTTTTATAAGTTAGCCAGTCTCAGGTATTCTGTTCTGGCTGCAGAAAATGGACCAAGGACACAACCATATGAGGTAGATAGAATAGTATCCCCATTTTATGGATGAGAAAATAATCAAGTTACTCAAGTTTAGGGCTGGGTACAAAGCTTTGAGGTAGAGTGCTTGCCTATCATGCATGAGGCCCTGTGTTCCATCCCCAGAAGATAAAAGAAAAAAATTAAGTTCATAAAGTAAATGGGGTAAACTTGGATTAACTTAAAAAATAAAAATATATTGGGCTGGGGGTGTGGGTCTGTGGTAGAGTGCTTGCAATTCACGTGTGAGGCACTGGGTTTGATCCTCAGCACCACATAAAATTAAATAAATTAATTAATTAAATAAAGGTATTGTGTCCATCTACAATTAAAACTATTTTTAAAAAATAAGTAAAAATATAGCTGGGCGTGGTGGTGCATGCCTGTAATCCCAGCAGCTCGGAGGGCTGAGGCAAGAGGATTGCAAGTTCAAAGCCAGCCTCAGCAATGACAAGGCACTAAGCAATTCAGTGAGACCCTGTCTCTAATAAAATATAAGAAAGGGCTGGGGATGTGGCTGAGAGGTTGAGTGCCCCTGAGTTCAATCCCTGGTACCAAAAATAATAAATAAGTAAAAATAGAAATCTAAACACAAGTAGTACCAATGTGTGGGGCATCAGGAGAAGACCAAAGAAAGGAATTTTATTACCACAATTGCTCTGAATAACCTGGGCCGCTACTTCATGCCCTACTGATTCATACAAGTGGTAACTTTAGATGGAACTAGGCAAGAAAGCATCTGCAATTCATTGTACTGCTTGAAAAACTAGAAATAACTAAATAACTAGAAAGGAATGTTTAAGCTTTTCAGTTTTATTTCTGCTTTAATTGTTAACCACACCTGGCATGGGAGGCACCTCCCAGGTTAAGTTCAGTAAAGACTTCAGAGCCCAGGTGCCAAACATGAAGATTTCCAAGCTTGGTCCTGAGATTTCAGACTGTTTAGGATTCAGTGGAATATGCATTTAGCAATTTTTTTTAATGCTTAGAAGTGATTTATCTGCTTTGGACAGCCTGGGAAAAGGAACCTCTGAGAATGTCTCAACAAATTCCGACCCCCTGTCTTTTCCGTTCATGGATTTAACATTACTGGGAGAAATAGGATCACATTAAGCTAAAATGTGCATTTTCTTTTTTATTTACCCTTGCATTCATCTTATCAATGCTTACTAAACATTGCTTTGTCAGCTTTTATTCTGTTGACTTCTTATTGACATTAAGCATTTCCTGAGTAGGAAAACAAAGTTGCTTCACAAAAAATAATCAAGATATCCATCTCTTACTCTTCCTAGGAGCTTGCCACCTAAGAGCTACAGGCATGCCTGCAACCTTAAAAAATTTTAAAGAGTAAAGCAAGTTCCAGGTACAGTGACGCATGCCTGTAGTCCCAGCACTCAGGAAGCTGCAGGAGCATCTCTTTTTTTTTTTTTAAATATTTATTTTTTAGTTATCGGCAGACATAACATCTTTGTTTGTATGTGGTGCTGAGGATCGAACCCGGGCAGCACACATGCCAGGCGAGCGGGCTACCACTTGAGCCACATCCCCAGCCCCAGGAGCATCTCTTGAACCAAGGCCAGCCTGGGCAACATAACAAAACACCATCTCAAAACCAACCAACTGACAAAGTAAGTCAAGAAACAAATTGGAATAAATAAATCCTACAAAAGTACAGTCCTTGGAATACATAGATTCCCCAAAGAAATTCCATAGAAAAGGGGTCAATGGTTCTGAATAGGTAACTAAGGGACCATTAATTTGCAATTAACACAATCATCAGAAGTAAAGAGTAAATCAGGATATAACTAATTAGAACAAATTTAAAGAAAGAGTAAAACAGGAGATTTACTATGTGCTTTCCCATTGAGTCCCCACATTCCCAGCACCTAGCACATCCTTATTATTAAGCTCTGTCTTTACACCACAAAATCTTGCTCTCTATGAAATATATACTGATTCATCCTGACTTCTCCATGGGCCATGAAAACTCTTGTTCCTTCTCCTCTACCTGTCTCTTATTTCCACCCTTAAGCCAATACCAGTCAACTTTTCTTTCTGCCCCTGAAATGATAATGTTCTCACAAACCAATCTCTCTGCCTCTCCTTACTTATTGTGCACCTGCTAAGCACCAGGCATGTTACAGACAGCTGGGATACAACAGTATTCCAAATAGATGGAAATCCTTCTCTTCATAGAGCTTAAATTCTGGTGGCAAAAGTTATCTGGACTATCCCTGTGGGAGCTGAACTCTGTTATCATCTATTTCTCTAACATTCCTACTGGTACACTGTCTTGACCCTCAAGCCAATCTGAAATCTAGAGCTTTTACTAATCTTCTAAATCCAATTATATTCTCAAACTGCATGGTTTCCTTAATGATCAACACAACAGAACTTGTTTGTTTTTGTTTTTGGGTACCAGGGATTTAACTCAGGGGCACTCAAACACTGAGCCACATCCCCTGCCCTATTTTGTGTTTTATTTAGAGACAGTGTCTCATTGAGTTGCTTAGCACCTCGCTTTCGCTGAGGCTGGCTTTGAACTCGTGATCCTCCTGCCTCAGCCTCCAGAGCTGCTGGGATTATAGGCGTGTGCCACTGTGCCTGGACAACGCAACAGAACTTAATAGCAAGAAGAGTGGCAGAGAAGGAACGAGATTGTAGTTAATTATTTGAATGGAGAGGATTGTTACCAGTGAAAGATTCATTACCCACATGTTTTTTTTTTTTTGCAGAAAGAATAAGCAATTTTTAAAAACCTACTAGAAATGTAATAAGGCCAGGTCCTCAAATTAGTTTTGGGCATTTTGCACCTGCTCTCCTCATTTGACTCCTGGAGAGAATGTGGGTGTGAATCTGATAACTCGTTTCAAACAAATACTCTGTATACTTGGTCAACTTCAAGATTTAGTTGGCTGGGTAAAGCTAAAACCAGTTATACAAGATCCAAATCTTCCCATTTCCCTTCCCCCTCTTTTTGTGTTTGTTACACATATAGAACATACTATAGGACTGAAAAATCAGAAAATAGTTCTTGCTTTATTTGGAGGAGGGGGTGTCTGGGTCTTAGGGCAGCTGAAGAATGAAGTACAGTAGAGCCCCCTAATCCATGGTTTTACTTTCTTGGTCAACTGAAGTCCAAAGTGTTAAATGGAAAATTCCAGAAATAAATAGCATAGGTTTTAAGTAACTTTTATTAGAGCATATTGTTCTATTTTATTAATAGTTATTGCTCTAAGCCAGGCATGGTGGCAAAGGCCTATGATCCCAGCTGCTCCAGAGGCTGAGGCAGAGATCGCGTGCAAATTCAAAGCCAGCTTCAGCAAAAGCAAGGCACTAATGAACTTAGTGAGACCCTGTCTCTAAATAAAATTCAAAATAGGACTAGGGATGTGGCTCAGTGGTTGAGTGCCAATGAGTTCAATCCCTGGTACAAAAAAAAAAAAAAAGTTATTGCTGTGTTCTTTTATGGTACCGACTTTATAAAATAAACTTTATTATAGGTATAGAGGTATAGGAAAAATAAAAACCAGTATACACAGGGTTCTGTGCTATCTGTGGTTTCAAGCATCTCTGGGAGTCTTGAATGTTCCCACAAATCGGAGGAGGGCTACTATAGAGAGAAACATTGACTAACCCTTATGTTGGAAGTCTTATCAGCTTTTAAAAGCCCTGCCCTGCTGACTCTCCCAGCAATGCAAGGTGTGGCTTCCAACCAGCAGCTCAGCCCCTTTTGTAGAAATTCTCACAACTGTAGATTGTCAGCTGCACTGACAATCTCCTCCCCACTTACTTTTAGCAAGGTGAGATTCAGTGAATTCATGTGTCTTTAGAGGCAGCATTAGATTCAGAGAAAGAAATTATTAAAAGGTGGAGTACTGCTCCACTTGAGGAAATGCTTTCTAAATAAATCCTAGTGCTGTCCATTCTCTGAAGGAGGTCCTCTAGCAGTCACTGGAGGTGTCACAGCTGGTCAAGGATGCATTAGAGGCCAGTCAGCCTACCAGACAGAATTGTGGTGACCTCCAAGGACCCCCAGTGATTGCAAGATAGGGAAACTATCACTAAGAAGGACCCAATACCAAATCAGTTTTGCCCAGTCCAAGAGTCATACTGGAAAGTGTCTCTGGGGCCTTGTAGCCAGGAGTTGGGTCTGGTTTCTATCAAACCAAAGGCAGCCAGGCAGCTGCTTTCCTAGCTCCAGTCCCCCAGTTGCTAGATTTCCCTCCAGAAACTAGGCATCCAAACTTTTTAAAATAAAATCACTCCCCGCCCCCCCCCACGGGCTTGGGACAGGGTCTTGCTAAATTGCCCAGGCTGGCTTCAAACTTGTGATCCTGATGCTTTAGGCTCCAGAGTACCTGGGATTACAGGGCATACCATCATGCCTGGCACCTATTTTGTATTGTAAATGTCAACAACTTATTCCACCAGGTCAAACAAGGGTGGGCATTGGGCCAGATGTGGCCTCTGATGGTCAGTTTCCGACTTGTGCATTGACTGGAATTTTTGCTACCTAGTCTCAGAAGTGAAAGTGGGCTGAAGGATGATCCAAGAGTCTGGGGTAGTAACAGAAGCTCCCCTTTTACCAAACTGGTCAAGGTGCGTCCCGGGACTCTAATCTCTTCCCCTTTTTTGGTTTGAGTCAAGGAACAAAACTCAAAGCCAAACCTCTGCATCCTCCTTCAGAGGAACTGTGATAAGAGACAAATGTTCTCCTAGTGGGCTGCACTCACCCTCCATAGCTCCCACAGTGCTAGCAGTCCCGAGTGCTGATTGGCTGAGATGCTGGTTGCTAGGGCGACCTCTGGGGCAGGGCAAAGAAGTCCAAAGACTGTGAGCTCCGACTTGGGAGATATTCCAAGTGCAGGGCACCGAAGCACTCGCTGGTTTATATCCCGCCTGGCCCAGCCCAGGATGACCAGTGAGGGCGGGGCCAGACAACTGCACCCGAGGCCCTGGGCCAGGACGCCAGGTCTGAGATACAGCAAGTTACAGGAATCTGGAGTCCAATAGCGGCCCCTGGATGTGGAAGTCGAGAAGGTTCCCCTTGGGGCCAAGGGAGTCTGAAGGATCTGGGTGGGTGTGGGAGGCAGGTTCTTCCGCACCACATCCTAGGACCCCTGAGGATGCAAAAAGGAAAATTTCCCGCGGAGGTCCTGCCTCTGTTAGATGTTCCGGTCTGGCCACTCCCAGTCACAGAAAAAGACCCTTGACACCCAAAGGGGTAAACAAAAAATTAGATGAGGCTGACTGTGAACCTTTAGTCTCAGATTCTGCTGAGTCACCATGACTCCGGACTTGAGAGGGCGGAGAGCAGCAGGGACACTTGCTCCCATGGAAATGAGTGAGCTGCTTTGACCAGGGGAAGGGGGCATAGAGGGGCATAGAATGCACTTCCCTGCCCCTCACGGCTAGGTAAAGGGGAATGAACCAGTTTTGCCTCCCTAGAGCTAGGTGGGGCTAGGGGGATGAGGGAGATAGCAGCTATGGGAAAGGATCACGGAGGCAGATGAAAGTTTAATGGCTTCACACATAGCTTTACTGAGGGTTTGAAATCCAAGAGCAAAAGTTAAAAATCTCTGTAAGTAAAATTTACAGTAAAGTCATCCTACAGGATAGAGAGGAGACATACAGGATACTGCCCTGAATGTACATCCTACATGACAGAGGGTCTAGAAAAAAGAAATTAAACTTGAAAGTGATAATTCTGAAGAATTATGGAGGGAAGGTAGTGAAGAGTACACAGGGCCCTCGCCAGTGGTGTCAATTTTGAGGTGGTCCTGGAAAGCTTTGTCTTCAAGATAAATACTACTTGAGGGCTGGGGATGTGGCTCAAGCGGTAGCGCGCTCGCCTGGCATGCGTGCTGCCCAGGTTCGATCCTCAGCACCACATACCAACAAAGATGTTGTGTCCACTGAGAACTAAAAAGTAAATATTAAAAAATTTTCTCTCTCTGTCTCTCGCACTCTCTCCCCTCTCTCACTCTCTCTTTAAAAAAAAAAAAAAAAGATAAATACTACTTGAATACACTGTTTCTGAAAATCAAAATAAATACCAAAAAACAAATCGTGAATAACAAAATATTAAAATGGTAAAGACAGGATTAGTGACAGTGTTGTAGGGACAAATGAGGCAAGGCACTGAAAATAGCAGGAAACCGTTTTATTTGGCTGCAGTCAGGTTCAGAGGGCCTAGTTTTTGCTGTAATCAATGAATCCCCTGAACCCCAAGTTCAGGGAGTTTCAGAGTTTTATACCCAGCATGTAAGAAGAGGGGCTCAGAGGTTCACAATCTGCAGAAGTTCACATAAAAGCAGCTTTTTCTTTCACTGTTCTGGGCAAGTTAACTCTTCAAGGACAACACCTGAGAAGGGGAGAGCTTCTTCTCCCCTTTCTCTCCTTCCTCTGCCAGCTGTTACCATGGAGTCCATTTGTAACTTATCTTAAAAATGTAGACATCTCTGTGAAGCCCAGCTCAAGGCCAGAGGCCTTGTTTGCACATTTCTTCAAAGTACTATACCGGATATGATTGTGAGAAACTAGTAAGGGGGTGTGCTGGTATCTTCTCGGCCAGTGGCAAAGTAAACAGGGCAACATGACAATAGGAAGTTTATCTGCATTGGACTCTTTTGCTGACAGTTCTAAAATCGGCCATGGTGAAGAGGGCTTTTCTGTGGAGAAAGGGGGTGCCACTTCAACAGTCCCAAGCCATACTGAGCTTGATGATAACTCAGCTGGCTTTATTTAACATGTTGTAATTTTGTTTTTGTTTACCTTAAACTTTTTTCTTCCTTGGTCTTTTTTTTTTTTTTAATACTTCAGAATTATCTTGATCATTGAGTTTTCTGGTGTCTCCTTAAATTTTGTGCCTGATGGGTGGAGCTATAGCTCAGTTTGTAGAATGCTTGCTTGCCTTGAATGAACACCTGGGTTCAATCCCCAGTACCACACACACACAAAAAAATATGCCCAAGGCAGCATTATCTTACTCCTTACTCTAGCTGGAGCCTTAACTCTAAGTATTTCTCCATAATACAAAGTAAATTGATACTATCTAAAGTTAATAAATGGGGGCTGGGGATGTGGCTCAAGCGGTAGTGTGCTCTCCTGGCATGTGTGCAGCAATGGGTTCGACCCTCAGTACCACATACAAATAAAGATGTTGTGTCCACCGAAAACTAAACAATAAATATTAAAAAACCAAGATAAAATAAAAATAAAAATAAAGTTAAGGTAAATGAAGAATTAGAGGCAAAAGCACATCATTAGAATGTAGCAATCTCCAGAATCATTAAACACCGCATTTTCAAGTGTAAGAGTGAAAAATGATAGAGATGCCTATGTATGCATTTAAGAGTTAAAACTATAGTTGGGCTATGGCACTCACCTATAATCCCAGTAACTTGGGAGGCTGAGGCAGGAGGATTGCAAGTTTGGGGTCAGGACAACTTAGTGAGGCCCTAAGCAAGACCCGGTCTCAAAAAATAAAAAGGGCCTGGTGTGGTGGTGCACACCTGTAATCCCAGCAGCTCAGGAGGATCAAAGCCAGCCTCAGCAAAAGTGAGGCACTATGCAATTTAGTGAGACCGTTTCTAAATAAAATACAAAATAGGTCTGGGGATGTGGCTCAGTGATAGAGTGCCTCTGAGTTCAATCCCCGGTAGCTGCACCCCCCCCCAATAAATAAAATAAAAAGGGCTAGGGATATGGTTAAGTGTCCCTAGGTTTAATCACTAGGAAATAAAAATACAAAATAAAAATACAAAAGGCCTAGGGGTGTAGCTCAGTGATAAATCTATTCTGGGTTTAATCACTAGTTACCCCCACCACCCCCCAAAAGAAGTGAAAATCATTCTCTAAGGGGCTTGGAAGTTCAGTGCAGAGGAAGAACTGGTCAGCAGAGCTTCCTAAGGGACTTGAGATTTCAGCTAGACCACTTTAAAGGTATCTACTTCAAAATAGATAAAAGGACATGTTAAAAAGATCTGGGCATTCATGTTTGACCTTTGACTCATAAGTACTTTCTTTTTCCTCTTCTTGGGAAGGTGTCTAGAAGCACCGAAAATGATTTAGTGTTTAACATCTGTCACAGGCTTTCCTACCATACAGCCTCCAACAAAACTCGGGTGTCCAGAAACCCTGGTGATAGAATTGTTTACCTTTTGTTTACCTTTATATCAATAATGTGGGGAAAGCACCCAACCTTCGAGTGGTATGTGCTGGGCAGACTTCGAGGGAATCCTTGTGATACCTAACATGCTTATGAGATTGTCTAAAATGAGAAAACATATCAGTGGGCCTGTGGTGGTCCCATGTGTGCTAAGTATACCTGTGACTGTCATCAAGCATGTCTTCCTCACCAAGGAGCCGAAAATCACTGTGAAGGTATTGAAAGCACAAGAGTTAGAAAGCTAAACTAAAAAAAAAGAAGCTTCTTTGAGTAATGAAAGGTCAAAAGGCAAAAAATAAAAATAAATGAAAAGGTCTTGTTAGCGTTGTCCAATAGAAATGGTCATACTGTGCTGCCCAAATCATGTGGCTGCAAGTTACAAGTGGCTATTGAGCTGGGGTGGGGGCTCATGGACTGAGGGGTTGGCAATATTGGCTATTTTGTCCCCCTTCTCTACCACTCTGCCCTGCCTACTATGTGTGTGCCCCTGGAGGCTGACTGCAGATGGCATCGTTTGAGCTTCCTTGCTCTCTGGCTTCCAGATGGGTAGCCTATGGGCTGTATCTGCAAAAGTTCAGGGGGTGAGAGAAGATTCTGCCACCTCTGTGCCCTGCCATCCTCAGAAGAGTCAGTCGCTCATATGGACAGCCCTTCCTGTGACTCCAACTCCCTGGGCCTCCAGTCACTGCGGTCCTCCCCTTTGTTTCTTCAGGCCAGTGTGAGGTCCTGGCTTCCCACTGCTGCTGGTCCCTGGGTGCCTCACTGTTAAGGCGCTATTCCAAAATCCCTAATAAAACTCTAGGTCTTTTTGAAGTAAAGTCAAAGGATTTATTCTGGACAGGACTGAGGGAGCAGAAAGGAGAGAGTTCTGCAGCCCAAGACACTGAACTTGAAAATAGAAAAACCACAAAGGACGGGGGCGAGAGAGGCAAGTGCCATCATAAATCACATTTCTCAGAATTCGCACCTCTTGTACCTACTCAGGAAGTAAGCTAGTACCAGCTCCACAGTTTTTCTATGCAAGTGGCCTCTTACAGGAAGGGGGGCCAACTTGGCACAGGGTGAGATGTCTGAACAGGATGAGGTCAGCCTCACTTACCTTTCAAATCAGCCCGTAATATCACCATCTCAATTTGGCTCCTAGACTTTGTCCACACTCTTTTGAGTGTGCCACCTGCTTCCTGTCACACCATGACTGCTGTAAAGCCTTGAAAGACATTAACATTTCTTAGAAAGGTGAGTGAGGTGCACCTGGGACAGCATCCTGAGAAAGACCCTTTAGATTTAGACCAAGGAGACAGAGCGACTGCATGTTACAGAGAGTGTGGGTGAGCACAAGGAGACAGGTGGACGGCTCTTCCCAGAGGTATGTCTGTCAAGCAAGATCAGAGAGACTGCAGCAGCTAGAAGGCTGTGGGTGTCAGAGGAGGGCGTGGGGCATGCGCTTGTCTGTGGGGAGTGGGTAGCGACATGCTTCAGGGCTTTTGCAGTGCGTGGGGTGTTGCCGGTGAAGATGCTGAGTCCTGAGATGAACTCCAGAGCACAAATGCAGCAACTGGGTTTATTCTGGAGGAGGAATCTTCTTTTTGAGAGGAGGGCTTGTCCCGCCTGCTGGGATGTTGAAGATTTGATGGGAGAACAAGGAGTTCCTAGACTAATGACTGTTTGGCCTGTGCCAACAAAAGTCAGGTCACTGGCTGAGAGTGAATGAGAGGTGGTGGCGATGAGTTCTGCAGGCTGCGTAGGTTAAGAGCACAGTCTGTCCCAAAACTGCTCTCGCTTTGGGTACAGCCATAAATTGGGGGATCCCTAATGCTGGGGATCAAACCCAGACCCTATTGTGTGCTAGGCAAGTGTTCTACCACAGAGCTATGCTCCCAGCCCTGAGAGAATGGTATTTGATTGCATATAAGTTATTCCCCAACAAAGTCACTTCTTAAAAAGGAGAGTGGTTGCATTGGTGAACGATATTACAGGGCTGACTGACATCGGCC